GCTATAGATATAGATATAGGTCTCTCCTTTGCATGGCTGATCTGGAAGAGGATCTGATTTTCAGAGAATGAGTGTTTGAGCATTTTTAAAGTGTAGATGACTTTTTTCTAGTACTGCTTGACACAGTCCTGTGACAATAAAGGTAACTGGGATCCATCATCCTGGGGGATAGAGATAAGTGGTACATTTGATTTTCACACATCTTTAGGAGACATTTCAGGTGCTCAAGCACATGCCTGTTGCCAGTTTCCATTCTGGAATATTGTACATGCCTGGAATATGCGATGTTTGTCCTATAGATCCCGTGCTGTGCCTGAAATAAATTCCTCTGCAGATGCCTAAGCTACCTCAGGGCATGGAAATGGCCCAAATCACCCAGGGAACTCCCAACCCCAGTGTCTGTTTTAATTTAGGCAGTGCACCCAGATGGAGGTTTGTCATGTATTATTCTGAATATATGAAAATAAAATAAAATAACCATGGATCACATTGGGTAGGCAGGACATGACTCCAAAGAGCTCTGCTGGAATATCCACATATGTTCTGTTGCATGATGCTTTATTTGTCCCAGAAGAATTAAGATGACAGATGATAGCTGAGGTTTGAACTTGTGCATCAGGAAGGCCACTTTGAATATAAAGGGGGCAGTGTGCGTTTTGTGAAACTAGCGATGCAAAGAGGATGCAGCGGAGGAACGGCCGGCAGTGTCATTGGAACGATGACATTTCTGTGGAAACGAGGCAGTTGTTTATGGTGCTGTGTGCAGTTCTTGAAGCCAGCCCAGAAACAGGGCAGGGGTTTAAGGGGAGGCAGGCGGAGGTGCCTGCGGAGCTCCAGCGCTGCTGCTCCCGGAGCCCTGGGGCAGCGGGGCTGCGACCTCAGGGACACCTCACTGGGACTGTCTGATGTGTGTGAGTCCGTGTGTGTCTGTGTAACATCGGGAAGGCCTTACCACCCGAGTTAAGACTTAGCTGCTGAAGGAAAAAGAGGAATTTTGGCCGGTACCCACTGTAAATAGTTTTTTGTTTCTGCAGGCGAACCGGAGAGAGAGGTGGAGTCTAAAGAAGTAGCGTTCCATCACTTTCAACTTGGTGACTGAAGTTCTTTAGGTGACACATCTTAAAAAGCATTTTTTTATGGAGGCTCTTTAAAACTAACAGATATTTTTTGAAAAGAAAGGGTTTAGCGTTAAACTCTGAAAGCTGATCCTCTTTTGTTAAAGGCATTGATGAAAAGGATCTTCTCCAATACAGAAAGGAAGTGCAGACTCTGATGGCATAGTTTTCCCTCTTCAGAATCCCTCTTATTTATTTGTCTATTTGTTTATTTGTCTATTTGTTTGTTTATTTTCTTATTTACATATTAATTTACTTGCTTATTTTTACGGTTCTCTCTGTAGGAGAGAAGAGAGTTGTCCCTGGAAAGCGGTGTAAGGATGAGTGGCCGCTGGGAATCTCCCCCTTTTCCCGGTGCGATCAGTTTTGTTGCTGAGTGCCCTCTGGAGGTTTTGGACCCGCAGCGACCCGGGCTATCGAGGCTGTGTCTGAGCTTTTCAGGACTCCTTGCTTCAAAGGTTCTCCCTCTCTTTTTTTTTTTCTCCTTTGGAGAGATATTCTAGTCGATCTAAACGAGCAGAACACAGTTAAGTTAGCTTTTGGTTTAAGTCAGAATTACGGCATATGAGTTACTCAGAAAAGGTAAAAAATAATTCAAAAATTCATTCAAATTGCTAGACAGCCAATCTGAATCTGTTTCATATTTAGGAGCTTTAATTAGCTTTATCAATGTATCAATCACTGTGCTTCCTGCTTATGTTTCTGTTTTCTCCCTAGTTCTCGTTGGGGCTAAAGGGAAACTGCTAAAATACCCTTTGAGCCTCTTCTTGCAAGATATATCAGAGATCTCAGGGGAAGCCTGTTATCCTTATTCTTCCAGCCAAGTTCTGTAGCCAGAGGAACTCTGGATAACTTCAGTAAGTATTGGAACTTTTGGGTGCTCATTTTTGGTTTTCTTGTAATCTCTAAATTCTCCACTTTTGTCTACACTTATTCCCCTAAGTGTATCAGTTAAAATAAATACCTGCAGTTGCCCTGACCACCGTGCTGTCATCATTCAAGATATGTATTAAAAATTCTGACATGAAGAAGCAAAATTTAATATTGCATTATTATAATCACTAATAATATTGGGTTCTGACATGGAGTTTTACATCTGAAAAGCATTTTTA